TTGTATCAGAGTCTTGATATCCATTGTGTCCAGCTCCTCTCTTGGCCAAATTATTATCCCAGCTGGGTAGCTGAGGACACAGAGTGTAGTTAGAAGGAATACTTAATCATAGTGCAAGTACACTTCTCTTTTTTATATAGATGTGTGGCAGGGGTGAAAGGGTGTCACAATGCTTGCTGTACCTCCGTGTTCCTGCTCTAATGTCACTTTGCCTAAGGCAGACATTTATTAATATAACAACTGAAATTGTAGACAGGTGTTAACCATGGGTAACAATGTCAGCTTTGATTCATTGCTCCTGCTGACATTGTGTCTCATGTCCACACAAATGAGTAATTTATTGTGGCCTCATCATGAATATATAATTTTAATCGCTGTATGCAGTGGTAACAGGTAACATGCAAACGCTGGCTCTCACATCATTAGCTGACCTTTGTTTATGCCCAAATAATTTCTGCTTGCCAGTATTCCAAATTAATTATGTCATTTAATTAAACATGAATGTTCCTTTTCTGCCCAATCGATTGACAAACTAGAATAGTAGCACAAAGCGGTTCATTTGCTAAACAGTTAATTTTAGTGACTTGAAATCGGAACAACAATCTTTAGGCAAAAACCGAAACCTTCCATGGAAACAACACTTTATTTGCATTATCTGTCTGTGTCCAGCCGTCCTAAATTGTTCGAGGCATCCCCTTAGTAGTTCATATTTATGCTTTCTTTTCAATATGTACTCATAAATGCTTTGGGTTATCATCCATGATGGGACCTTGGCTCCTTCCTTCCAGCTGGTTTACAGTCTCATGATGCTGAACATCAGGTGGAATCTTCGCACTTTGTGAGCAGTATTTGAGTCTTGATAATCACGGTGACCATCTCTTTGGCCAGGTTGTCTCAGCTGGGTACCGGATGACCAGTAGGGCATATGTGCTCTCGTCATTGAGCTGGAACTGCACATACACATATAGCTCCAACAGAAAAAAAAATGTTATGCTAGGTATCTGTAAATAAAAGCCCACTAACAACAAGCACTTGGTATTTTAATTGACAGCCTCTGACATATTAAGAAAACTACATTAGATTAGGCGACAAGGTCCAAATAGCTCTGTTGAAGGCTAAATAGTACATAAAATGTTTTTGACTTTTTCCTTGCATCTCCAGGTTGCTGGCAAAAACAAGCAGAAAAATAATCATAGATGGGTGCATAAAATAAATAAATAAATGAAAAAAAATCTGAAAATCTAAAGTAATTGTGTATTTTGGTAAAATGGTAAAACAATTCAGAATTAAAATATACTTGGTACTGTTTGGCTGTGGATAACGGCTCAATGGACCTAGAAAATAACCCCCCCCCCAACTGTGTTTGGCCAGTAGGAGTGTCTGTTCCATTCCTTCTCACTAAGAATGCTTAACGCAGCCTAATATCCACATCACAGCCAGTGTTAGCAAACAAGGCGGATTCATGCTGAGGTGAACAAGACACTGAGAAGGATAAATAAAGCACAAACATACACTGTACGCTATCTCACTGAGACTTGGCAGCTCGTTAGAGAAACAGGGAACTTATTTACCAACAGGAAACATGAGTTGTATCACTGTAAAACAGTGTGTATTTTATGTACGAATGAATTTACTCCCCGCAACATTTCATACTCCTTTAGTCTCTTGCACGATCTCTTCTCACTTTATGTAATTTATTCGATTTCTCTGTCTCTGCTTCTACTGACCATTATTGCTTCTACACAGTTACGTATGTATCCTTTATTTCTCCTTGTTCTAACATTGCACTTTTTTTTTAGGTTTGGTGCCTGGAGTGTGACTAACTATAATGAATGAGCAAAATGCAAATCCTTCAGATTTTTTTTTTATGAATGAATGCCAGATGCATTATGTATGAAAACAATAAATAAAAATAAATCAATGTTCATAGTTTCACCCATATTGTCTCATACCCCACACTCAAAACAAGGGTGTTAAGACTCTAAATGGAATGATACCACTGTACTCCTATTTAAAAGGTGAATGTTAACCTGGTTAAACAGCTTAGTACAGTTTAACTGCTTTCATAATGGGTTGACATCAGTTAATTTCATATTTTATTGGGTAGTTTCATTTTACATTTCAAAGTTAATTTTTAGTTTTAATAATTTAGCAATTTGTTGTAAATATCACTCATTTGGTGGTTTATTTTAGATTTGCTTTTTGCTCCTTTTTATTAAACACTCTGAGCACCAATCACTGGGCAAACGTCATCAAGCAGGATAGGATGGCTTCAAAGAGACTGACTCTTGGCTGATTTAAAGGTAAGTTTCAATGTCAATATTTTTTTATTTTTTTTTATATAGAGATGCCTGAGATAAAGTGGAGTAAGCTACATTTTTTTTCAAATTGTTTTGAGGTATTTTTTTTTGCAATTACAAAAAAATAAATAAAAATAGAACATTCAATTTAAATGTTTAACAAATATTATAAAAAAAGGGAAAAAACCCAACATAACACCAAAAATAAAACAAAAAAGGCAATTATAAAAGATCATGTTTTGACCAATATAAAATCTATCACAATGCTTTAGATTGGCAATTACCATGGTTTATAACAATACAATGTACACAAATAAAAGTGGCAAAACATTCTAAAAAAGTAAGAATTTTCTTTTTTTTTCCGTCTTTTTTTATTTCTTTGTTAAATGTTTGAGTGTTCATTTAATGGTTAGTTCTCTCTTATTTCCATTGTACAATTGTAACCTGTCCAATGTACCACGCTCTGTCTGTCACTACCTCTTCTATTTAAATATTCTGTCATCACTCTTTTCTCGTGGCCCTAATCACACTAACATTTTAGTCAAGGTCTTTATAAGTCCAGTCAGCCACATGTCTATGTTTTAATCTGTATGGAATGCTAAAATCATTTGTTTTCAGGTGAAAATGAATAGTGTAACATAGATACTGATGCCAGCACCCTTGTAAAGATGTAGTCCTGTTCTCCACAGTGGAAACATGTCAGCTTGATTGAGAAAGCTCAGTGTGGAAGGGACAGGGCTGATAAAAGCTAATGTCAGAAGTTAAGTAGTTACCGTAAGCTGCTCAAAACCTGTCTTAGCTCAGAGCGAAGGAGATGTGATAGCAGTAATTAGAAATAGCATGAGAAGCAGCAGACTAGGCCATATGAATTTGGAAGGGGGTTTAGTGGCATTTGACACTACATTGGCTAGATTAGCATACAATGATACTCCAATTAAAGTGATATGCATCACTTGAATTGTTTTTGTTTTAACATATATATATATATATATATATATACACTATACAAACCAAAATAAACCAAGGAAAATGTTTTAAAAGTATGTAATAAGAATTTATAACCTTACTATAAACTTGATTAGATTGTATTATTGGTCTCACCTTTATGTTGGGGGAGTTTCTGCAGTCTCCCCGCCCACCCCACCCCCTCCGCTCCCTTGTATCCACAAATCTCAGTTTCAGACTAGTCCACTAATGACAGAAACAAAGCATCACATGAGAGAAAACCAGACACCGGAGCCTGGTCTGCATGATAACACTGAATAGAATCCCTCACTTCAACCCCTTTCAGGATGTTGCAAGGAGAATAGATCTTTCAAATGCATGTGTGTACATCTGTCAGGCACGCTCAAGGCACTTTTCCTGGATACCTAGGGATAGAACACTGATTGGCAAGATCAGTGTCCCTCCTGGAGTGGGTGTGGAAAGCATAATAATAAATAAGTAATGCAACTGTCAAAATAAGCTTTTCCTCCACACAACTAGGAATATATGTGAACAAAGTTTCAAGCATTATTTCTTGAAGTATATTTTAAAACAGAGCCCATATGGTGCTAATAACATGAAGAAAAACTGTATTAAAGATCACTATTGGAAAATAACACCTTCCAATGTATGTAAACAAACCCAAAAAATCCTAAACTCTCTGGATTGTGGAAATATTTTTTCCCCAGAACTCATGTTATTTTGTTCCAGATTTACAGACTACTGGTTTGCTTTGTGCCCCATTGGTTCCTCAATTGCCAATATTCAATTTGATTTTGTAAGAAGAATAGATATCCCAAGGTATGAAGTTGTTCTGATTCTCGGTCAAAATGGAAAAAGTTTTTAATGTCTTGCATGTGTAAAAGGCTGTGTGCGTGTGTTTACATCTGTCTCTGACTAAACAGCAGTTTAGCTACGTGTGCCTGCATGTGGCTATCTCTATATTCAGCCTTTAGTATCTTGGGTCCCATTGTGCTTTATTCCATATGTCCATTTCCTTAAATACTTTCCAGTGCAAATATATATAAGGTTTATAGAACTGGATGTTGTCTGTATGCATTAGATGTTTTACAGAGTGGTTTGCTATGACTATCTCTTGATTATGATGCGCTGCGTGGTAAATTGAGATAGACAAGACTGAACAGAGAAACATACACTGTGTTGTTTAGCGATGAACATTTGTAAATACAATATATTATTTTCTTCAATACACCCTACAGTTGCTAGTCATCAGTCAGCCTTCCTTAGTGATCATGATGAAGGTGAGCTACCAAAGGAACTGAATAAAGACTTTGAATTGTGTAGGAGTTACAAAAAAAAGGAAAAAGAATATGAATGTATCCTCCTACACATATCTTGCATGTGTAAGAGGCTGTGTGCGTGTGTTTACATCTGTCTCTGACTAAACAGCTGTTTAGCTACATGTGGCTACGTGTGCCTGCATGTATATGCATGTGGCTATCTCTATATTTTTTGCCTATATATATACACACAGTATTAGTACAATGGTTACCTTCTACTTACACAAATCGGCAACAGACCTCCCAAGTCTGATGCATGATTTTCCGTGTCTTACTGATCACCCAACATACTGTCTCGGTCATCAGGTGTATTATTTATTTATTTAGAAAATATTTTACCAGGAAAGATACATTGAGATTTCTCTCGTTTTCAAGTATGTCCTGGGTCCACAAATCATTGCATTGTTACATTAGGGTACAATAAAATACAAAAACAATATTAATACACAATAAATACAAAATTTAACATGGAACAGGTAGGAAATATATAATCAACCATGACAGGTGCATTCTGTTTTGAGGTATGTAGAGAGGGATCTCTTAAAGGACTTTAGGCTTAGGGAAGATTTTAAATTGTGCGGGAGGTCGTTCCACAATTGCGGTGCTCTGTAGGAGAAGGAGGATCGGGCCGTTTTCTTTTTGTATTGAGGTAGACTAAGTAAAGTGTTGGTACTGGATCTGAGTTTATAGGAAGTGTGAACAGCTGGGGAAAGCATTTTGTTCAGGTAGGGTGGGAGTTTCCCAGAAAAGCTCTTAAACACAAGGCTGGAAAGATGAAGGGTGCGTCTGGATTCCAGCGACAGCCAGTTTAGTTCTTTTTGCATGTCACAATGGTGGGTCCTGTAATTACATTGTAGCAAAAATCGGCAGAACGAGTTATACAATGTGTTGAGTTTATTAATGTGGGATTGAGATGCAGACGCATATACTACATCCCCATAATCAATGATTGGCATCAGCATTTGCTGCACAATCTTTTCCTTTACTGTAGGGCTTAGGCAGGATTTGTTTCTGTACAGGGCACCTAGTTTTGGATAAAGTTTAGATGCAAGCTTTTCTATATGCAGGTCAAAAGATAGATTGGGGTCTAATATCATACCCAAGTATTTGAAAGAGTGGACTGCGGTCAGTGTGCCATTTGAATTTGTTTTGATGGATAGGTGGGAATTGTGTAATTTGTGTAATTTAGGTACTGTTCCAAAGATCATTGTGACAGTTTTCTCAGTGTTTAGGAAGAGTTTGTTTTTAGCGATCCACTTTTCTACCTCTGTAAACTGGTCTTGAAGCACAGCCTCAAGTTGCGGTAGATTGGATTTGCTCGCATAGATTACCGTGTCATCTGCTTACATGTGTACATTTGAGGATTGGCAGACATTAGGCAGATCATTTATAAATAATGTAAATAGTAAGGGGCCCAGAATGGAACCCTGGGGAACACCACACGTGACTGGGAGAGGGAGGGAGTCGCTGTCAGAAATGGACACATATTGCGAGCGATCCGATACATATGATCGAAACCAGGTTAGCGAACGATCACCAATACCTGAGTTTTTGAGTTTGTGCAGTAGAATGTCGTGGTCTACTGTGTCAAAGGCCTTAGCAAAATCAAGGAAAATAGCTCCAGTTAGGTCTGCTTGTTCCATGCCAGTTTGGATGTCATTGCAAACTTTTAAGAGGGCAGTTGTAGTGGAGTGATTCTGGCAAAAGCCCGATTGATCAGGGGTCAGATAGTTTAATTGTTGGTAGTGCTCACAAAGTTGCATATGGACACATTTTTCTAAGATTTTTGACAATACCGGGAGCAATGATATTGGGCGATAGTTAGAAACCAAAGTAGTGTCACCACTTTTATGGATAGGCACTACTCTCGCAGTCTTCCAAAGTTTGGGTATGTATCCAGACACCAAGGATTCGTTAATTAGAGTTGAGACGGGTTTAGCAATTGCTGGCGCACTGAGTTTCAACAGCATTGCTGGGATTTGATCGGGTCTGGACTGGTTTAGAAATAGTGAAGCGTTTAAGAATGGTTAATAGAGTGTGTGCTGCACTTCATGTGAATTTTAGAACCCTTTAACATGTGTCTGCAGAGTAATGCTCAGTGTATTGCATAGTTTACGGTGCGTATTGCGGTGTTCAGGCACATTAGTCTGGAATGTCCCCTTTAGGACTGGGTAAATCCGTAATCCAATTAACATCATAGGCACACCCAAATAGCAGCCCTGCTCTCATCCGTCCCTATTTCGGACTTGACTAACTTGTGAGGGTCTGTGTCTTCAAATGATACTCTGTATACCAACAACTTGCTTTTTATACCTTTTGGACTAAATAAGCTGCATTGTTTACATTCTCATTTCTGTAAAAACAAAAAAAATACTGCAGCATGCTGCATCTCAACACCATTAGAGCAAGAAGATATCCAATCATGTCAATAGTAAATGTTATACTACGTCTGACATCACTGTCAGTCACATTCACCCCCAGTGTCTATAAAAAGCCGTAAATCTGTAATATTAGAAACTTGGTTAGTATGTTGCAGGGTAATGTAAAGGACAAATACAAGGCAATGTGCAGCTCCAAAAATACCCTGTCTATATATAGTCTTTGAGAGGGCTAGGCAACCTTTGGGTCTCCATATGTTGAGGACTACATCTCCCTTGATGCTTTGCCAGGTTGTCTACCCCTGGTCTATGATTACACCCAACACATGGATAAAACACATGAGATATCTGTGATGGTGGCTCTATACTCCATCTTGCAATAAAGGACTTTTTCCAGGCAAATCTTGTTCCTGAATGTATTCTATGAGTGCCTGACACAATTTTGTTTTTACACTGCACCCAAAAATATAATGGGCTACCATATGGTTATTTTTTGCAGTTTTCATTCAATAAACTATTAATTGCTGGAGATGTCACATAATTTAATTATTAGAATAAAAACATATGGGTCCGTTTTTATTATAAAATGTAAAAAAACCTATAGATAATCGATATGGACACTAAACAATAAACAAACAAAACATTTCTTTCAGGAATCTAATAATTCTTAAAATCTAGAAAACCACAGGTGGCCTATAAGGATTAAAATAGTATGCTTGAGAATGTGCAGTTTGTACACTCTATCTTAATCTTCTGAACACAACAGCAAAGCAAGACCAGATTTTATAATCTGTTTAAATATCCGTTCATGGGCGACAATAGTGTCAAAAAGTGCAAATACTATGTAACCTCTCCTATCCCATTACTTGGGGTAAAACAACAAGGAGACTCCCTACTGCCCCATTCACTTGGTGTACTACACTAATGAATTTACATATTTACCATGTTATTATACAGAGTGTCTTCATTCGTTATTCTTCAGAGAAACATTTAGAGCAATCAAAGCTATGGCTACCAGTCCCTTACACTAGAGGCTGGTGGACCTGGATCTATACAGCACTCGTATAGACCAACATAGTGGAAATTGGAAGGTGGGGTGGAGAGTATAAAAGATGAATGGTGCAGAGCTCCTGGGATTGTTCTTGATTCTTATTTGCATAGAAAAGCATTTGATTGGACCAATCCCTAGGCTCAGACAGCATGTACGTGCTCCGAGCTGGGGAGAGGGTGACAGAGGGCACTAGACAAGGGAGGTAGAGGAATTAAAACAAATATAAAAAAATAAAAAAATACCTATAATGGTCTGTCTATGTAGAGTAGCTGGGAGGAGGCACACTCCCAGCATTGTTTATGAGGGTAGAAGCCGACAAAGAGCTGTGTTCATGGACGAAAGACTTAAAGGGACACTATAGGCAACAAGACCACATTAGCTCATTGAAGTTATCTGGGAGCATTGTTCCAGGTCCCTTAATCTTGCAAAGGTAATTATTGCAGTTTGTAATAAAGGGTCGACTCCACTTTTGGTTGCCTGACACTGCTTGAGGATGCTCTGTGTCATGTAAAACCCCATAAGAAAGCATTATACATTATACTAATGTAAACATTTGCATTAGGTTTTCCAAAATGGCTGATGGCGGAGGAGGATCGAAAGCGGAGTCCATGCCAGTGCCGAGGGACATTGGGGCTGTAATCAGGTAAGTGACAGAAGAGGTTGGAGGCCTTGACCGAGGGGTGCATTATAGGAAGTTATAGTGCCAGGAAAATAACTTTGTTTTCCTGGCACTATAGTTTTCCTTTAACTTTTGCACAGAATTAATGATAGGCCTAAGTCATGTGTGCCACGGCTGTAACTAGCCCCTGACACAAAAACTAAGAATTTCTCATTATCTGCATTGTTTAAAGCAGAAATGGTACAGAGAGATTGCTTCCTCCATGACCACTTCTAAAAGCTGAATTGGTCATGTTGGTTGGAGTGACCCTTTAAGGACATTGAAAATTGCCCAAGTCATCAAAATTAAAAGGCATTGATCTCTAACCAAATTTGTCAGGGCACTGTACATTTCTGCAGACGGATTTCCAATCAATGTCTTTTTTTTTTCTCGTCGAAATACAGTTTTATAAGAAAGGAGAAGCGGACAAGATTAAACTAGGAACACCAAACAAAGAACAGAACATTAAAAAAAAATTAAAAAAATAAGACTTGTTTTCGGTTTAAGTGTGAATCTGAGAGCATTCTCTGTCCATGGGGTGATTAGTACACGAACACACAGAATCACTTTTAAGAATTAAAGAGGGAGATCTCTCCTTTTATCTGGGAAGCTGCTGCAATGTGCAGACATGCAGATAAAAAAAAAAAAAAATACTGCAAGAATACTTATTTCATCTTATTGCTGTGCTTACTTATTATAGTCCTTTCATTAGAGTTTTTGGTGCACAGATAAATAAAAAAAAGTTAATCCTTCTATCTTTTCTGCCACAGATGAATTTGGATGGCTACTCGTACTTTTACAATTTGTATAATTGACAAATGGGTAGAAACTGGTTCATTAGATCTGGTCATGGCAATTGTCTAATCTGCAATAGACTTTATTTTGCCCTAGCCATCTACTTGCCCCAATAAAACCTCTTTTGTAACCCGATTTTATAAACACATTAATATTTCTGGTTACAAACAATGGAGGGCTTCAAAGGACCATTCCAGGCACCTTAGCTTCTAGAGCTCGCTAAATATTTTTATGGTCTGGGAGTGCATTCTCACAGTAAGATGTCAAAACATTTTAGTACTTACCTGACATTTTCAATAACTTACCTAGGTCCTGCTAAGCGCCCCCAGAGCACTCAGCTGATGCGCTCAGGCAATGAGTGCAGTCTTGCCTTGGTCCTGCTTTGCTCTAAAGCAACTTGTGGCTTCCCATGCTGGTGAAGATCAGATGATGAGGAAGGGGCACAGGTGCCTGCAGGACACAAAAGTGCCAAACTATGCTAAAACGGTTTGACATCTTATAGTGAAATAGTGCTAGCTGGTTGCAGTGGTTACAGTGTTTCTTGTTAACTTGTCTAGTGAAAGCAGTTAAGAGAAAGGCATTATCCACCCAGCACTTGGCTATAGAGAGACCAATAAAACCTGCTAAATTCTAAGTGGAGAACATTTTTGCACGTAATCCTCAGTGTTTCTAGATCACAGCTCCTGCATCATCTGATTTTTGTGTTGGAAGAGGGCTTATCATTTGTAGACTAGAATAAGAATGCATAGAGTTGTAATTCCACAAAGCAAAGATCATGGTGTGTAGACAATCTAAAGAAAGACAGTGCAATTATATATATATATATATATATTTTTTTTTTTTTTTAGGCCTGCCACAATGAAGATCTGCCTGGAGAAGCCTACACCTCCAATTCACCTTGAAAAAAAAAACAAACGTTCATTTCACATGCCAAACAAAAAAAAATCATTTGATTCACAGCAATGAAACCTAAATGGGATAACCTGCGGTGGTTCAACAAACAAGGTGGTAAGTGGTCCCCCCCAGGGTTCTGTTTTGGGACCGCTTTTATTTAACATTTTTATAAATGATCTTGAAATAGGCATTGAAAGCCATGTATCAGTGTTTGCAGATGACACAAAACTTTGTAAAATAATACAATGTGAGAAGGATATTGCTTTGCTGCAGAGGGATTTGGATAGATTGGGGGACTGGGCACTCAAATGGCCGATAACCACACACGAGAAGGATTTGAGAATTGTTATAGACAACAAATTAAACAGCAATATGCAATGTCAATCTGCAGTTGCTAAGGCCAGTAAGGTTTTGTCATGTATAAATAGGGGCATAAATTCTCGGGATGAAAATATAATTTTGCCTCTTTACAAATCTCTGGTAAGACCACACCTTGAATATGCTGTGCAATTTTGGGCACCTGTTCTAAAGAAAGATATCATGGCACTAGAAAAAGTGCAGAGATGAGCTACAAAATTGATAAAAGGAATGAAGCAATTTAGTTACAAAGAAAGGTTAAAAAATTTAAATCTGTTTAGTTTGGAAAAACGGAGCCTGAGAGGGGATATGATAACATTATACAAATATATTCGGGGCCAGTACAAACCATTATCTGGAAATCTATTCATAAACAGGGCTATACATAGGACACAAGGTCACACATTAAGGCTGGAATAAAGGAGATTTCATCTAAGGCAAATAAGGATATGGAATTCTCTGCCTGAAGAGATGGTTTTATCAGAGTCCATACAAATGTTTAAACTGCAATTGGATAAATACTTGCAAAAACATAACATACAGGGATATAATTTCAAATTAGTGGAGTAATAGCTGCTTGCTCCAAGGAGACATCTGACTGCTATTTTGGGGTCAAGAAGGAATTTTTTTCCTAGTTTGTTGCAAAATTGGAAGCGCTTCAGACTAGGTTTTTTGCCTTCTTTTGGATCAACAGCAAAAACATATGTGAGGAAGGCTGAACTTGATGGACACAAGTCTCTTTTCAGCTATGTAACTATGTAAGGTAGCAAAATGTTTAGATGTGTTTAGGTCTTTTGGTCCTAGGGGCCCAGGAGTTCGGCACTCTGACTTTACAAGTCAAAAAAAAGATGGAGACACAGAAGACTAAAAGAAATGTGAAGGAAAAATATTTTTGAAAA